CTTCTGTTTGGATAACCTCACACGACTCCTAAGGGTTTGGCTGTCCTCATGGAGACGCTGAAAGAATCAGAAAGGAACCCTACGCCGACGCTGATTTTATCATCAACCAGGTAAAAGGTTCTATTTCGACCAAGCGTACCGTGGCCAAGCTGATTCCCCAAAGAGCGTGTTGTTCTGGTACTACAGATAAATTCCCTCACACATCTCTCTGTAAGATAAATCTCCATTTTCCATCTTAAACTCTCCTTTCTCCTAAAATCATTACAGATATTTTAGAAATATCTGAAGCAAAGTTTCTTGATCACCGCCGTGTGATTGATGTCTGTTGTTCTGCTGAGAAGTGAGGACAATAGCCTTATTGTCCCACTTTCTGTGAACTTGCCATGTTATTGTTTTCATATTTTGCCAAATTAATGTAAATGTTTGATGTTAAACTTTGATTCTGCAAATAAATGACCGCATTCATTTGATGGGTCAAAGATAATTAACGTCTCTCTCGTTACATTTTTGTTAAACTCAATGCACGACATTTACACAGTCAGAAAAATGAAGAACTCGTGAAAATGTATGAATATATCCTGCATATGTCATACTACACGAGTCTCGCCATAGACTTCCAAAAACATTTATGGGGAAACCAAACACCCAATCTCAAGTCGTTCGTCTAAAAGACAACAGACAATTGAACCAAACTATATTTTACCATGTAAAGCTAACTTAAACCAAGTTAGGAATGGAAAAATAGTTTAGAACACCCTTCTATAGGTATAAACCCCTATAACTACCCTTTTCAGCATGTTCCACCCCTTAACTGGTAGTTGTAGCTGTTCCCAATCATAATAGCTTACACACCAGGTGCATATAGTTTAAGGCCTTATGTAAAATCCCCTTCATAAGCCCACCTTAAACCACATAATTGCATGTCACATTGAACCAGAACGGCATCGACTGGACGTCGCCCAGAGACGACCTTCGCTGGAGGAGACCTGCAATCCTGACGTTGGTCTCCACTCTTCATCCAGTGGCCGCATCTTCAGTTCAATCCAAGGGAACCCCTCTGTATGCTGATCAATCAACACCTCCATTCGTTGTGGATTTACCGTTGTGGATTATATGACTTTTTCCAATGGATTACAGACTCTGTTTCCAAGGGGTTAAAGCATTGCTACAATGGAATTACCAACAACATTATGGAATTACCATCAACACAATGGAATTACCAAAAACATTGTGGGATTACCTCCTTTGACTTTTGTTTTCCTTGCTGGATTACATCGAGCTCAAGGACATTCGAAGGCGTAAGTTCGTGTTGGAATTCATCCCCATGGACAGGCGATGATTTCCAAAGGGGGGACTGTAGTGAACTAAGCCTCAGGTCAAATCTGGCCTTGAGGGCCTTCCTGGGACAAGAACTGTATTTCATTGATTTGAGTCCAGAAACACAAGATTAAGTTCATCCAGAGACTTTCTAAGTGTCCTACACTGATCAATTGAAAGAACACTCTCTTTTTATTATCATTACTATTTTCTTGATAATCAAAGTGTGTTTAGTTCAAACCATTTTTAAATGTTGAAGTGAACTACTCATTTTAAATCAACTGTGAAACAGTATTAATGATTTTTTAATCCTCATT